ATTTAATAAATATTGATTTAAAAATTACTTTTAATTTGAATAATATGTGAACATTAATATTTATTATTAAAATTAAATTATATATCTATAAATTAGTAAAATTAGTATTTGGATATCAAAAATGAACATAAATTATTTTATAAATGATAATGTAATAAAATATTAGAGTAAAAAAGATTTGTTATTTAATATTTAATCAAATTTTAAAATAATGAAAATCTCCAAATACTTAATAATTATGATGATCTCATCAATTGATATAAGATAAATTACTTAATTTTGTGTTTGTAGGCATGTAGACAATCAATATGAATGTTAGGGATCTCACATTTGTATTTGGAATGGAGAAAAATGTGATTTAAGATTAGGTGAAACTTACATCTAATAAATTGATTATTAAGATGCAGATTAATGTTATAAATATATTTAGGAAGATTGTATATAAATGGAGATGTGTGGATTTTATCTAGGAGAGTGTATAAGATTTACAGAATGTGGTTTATTCTAAAAAAATTAATGTTAAGAATCTTCAGTAAAATGCGTTTCCGATGGATAAAATGTATTGAGAAAAAAAGATGTCATGATTATAATTCAGTAGAAGGTTGTCAAAATAAAAATATAGATGGAAATTATTATTATAGGGATTTAAATGCTACTATTAAGTGTTAAGATGTTGTATTGTACTTAATTGCCTTACTATTTAATGAGTGATAATGATTGTAGAAATGCCATGTATTATTTTACTGTAAATGATTTGGGATATGGATGTGAAGATGGAAAAAATAAATGTGAAGAATATACAAAAGAAAATAAATGTTATTTTACATATTATAAAAAAATTGAATGTTTTTGGGATCGAGAGTTATAAATGTGTTTTACAAAAAATTGTGAAAATAAACAATTAAAAACATATGATGAATGTAATTCTTACATGTAAAATTGCACTACAAATGGTATTCATTGTTTTGAGAATTAAGAATGCTAGTTTATTAAAAATGAAAAAGGATGTGTAGTTGATATTAATAATAAAAAAAGTGCTTACTCTAATGGAAAATGTGAACTAAAGAATTGTAATACAGCACCTTTATAATATAATAGTTATGAATAATGTTAATAATATGACGAAAAATTGGATTGTGTGAGTGCTTAAAATTGAGGGTGCCAAAATAGACCAATATAATGTTAGAATTATTATTAAGAAATTGATTGTTATTCAATTATTATATAAGATTGTGTTTGGTATAAGAATAAATGTGATAAGAGGTAATGTTACCATGCTCCCTAAACTTTTGTTCATGAACAATGTTAATAATATGGAAAATGTATGAGAAAAATTGAAGGTGGTTGTGAATTGAGACCATAAACTTGTGAAGAGATTATTATATATGAATTTTGTGATATTAGTTATGATGAATCTCGTTGTATGTGGGAAGAAAATTAATGTAAATAATTAACATGTTAAAATTTAAAATTACCAAATTATGATAATAGTTAAAAATGTAAATAAGCCAGCAAACATTGTCGATAATACTCATACAACAAATACAGGTTGTTTATAATTTAATGTTGGTGAAATCAAATGTATTATTAATAGTACTGATATTGGATGTGTTGATTGGCCTAATTCTTGTTCTTAAATGTTATCATAGACTTAATGCAATATTGGTTTATAAGATTCTACTATTTGTATATGGATATCAAATTCATGTCATTAATTAGACTGTAATGTCATAATTACTAGAGTAATTGCATTGTAGCATCCTCATTTTAAGGATGTATGAATAGACCATCCAATTTAGTATGTTCATAATCTCCAATTAATGATATGTATGATACTCATTAAGAATGCTAAGTGTGGAATCCAAATTGTACAATCTCAGATTATGCTGACTCTGTAGGATGCTAATAGGAATAAACTTTATGTTCAAATTATACTACTAAAAATTAATGTAAAATTATATTAGATTCTTCATATCCTTATCCAAATCCATAATCATATTGTTATTGGGATTACATAACATCTTCATGTAAAAGCGCATATTAAAATTCTTTATATTAATCTGATTAAAGAATAATTGGTGAATTAACTCATAATGATTGTGAAAATTTTATGAAGATATGCACAATTAATAATAATCTTACTAAAACATGTGTGTCCCTTTAAGATGACTGTGTTAATTATACAATATCAAGGCTTGTATATTAAATAAATATTAATAACCTTGTTATTGTGATAAATTTTAAAATAAATGTCTTAATTAATAATGTAATTAAAATGTTGAAGCTCAAACTGAAGCAGAATGTTTTAAATAAAAAAGAGAATATCTATGTTAACTTATTTATGATAAAAATGGGGTTTCTGAAATAGGTTGTGAAGATAGAGTTAGAACATGTTCTGATATAAAATATTAAAAGATTTGTAATAAAACTATAACAATTCAAAATGAAAGATGTTATTATTATAATAATAAATGTAATGTGATTGTTGATGAAAATTAATGTTAATTAATTACTGATGCGTCTAGTAATGAGGAATGTCAATTTTATCATTAATTTTGTTTATTATAATAAAGTGGTAAGGGTTGTTATGATGTAAAGGAATGTAAGAATCTTATGAATACAAATTGTAATTCTAATATTATTTATAACAATAATAAGTGTCTTTATTATGGTAATGAATGTAGACAAAATTTATTTTGTGATAAATTATTTACTTCTTTGAGTAGCTGTGATAATGTGAAAACCTTAATATATTATGCAGCTATTAATATATTGGACTTGAATTAAAATGTGTACCTTAAGAATGTTCAATATTAAATATAACAGATAATATTGTAGATAAATATGAAGCATGTTAAAAATATTCATCAATGTGTACATATAATATTAGTACTGATTTAACAACAAAATTTTGTATGTAAATTTTAAATTGTAATGATCTAACCACATAAGCATTGATAAATTATAAATTATGTAATAATTCATTAACAATAACTTTAAAAAATGTGGATTTAATTTTAATTCTAATTAATGTGAGAATAGATAATGTGAACATTTGAAATTTATACATGTTGGATTATTAAGTGATCAAGATTGTTATGATTGGAATTATGATTGTATATTTGATGGAATTGATTGTAGACTCTTTGATAATATAGATTGTACTCAAATAAAATTAAAACATTAATGTATTTAATATTCATAATGTAAATTAAAATAAAATAATTGTGTTTATAATGTAGATTGTGAATAAGATATAACTGCAACTACAATGGATGATTGTAAATTAATAAATACGATATGTTAATTAGATTATATAAATGGATAAGGTTGTAAATATGAATAATGTGAATAAATTTTACATTAATCTCAATGTGATTTAGCACATACTAGTGATGGAATGAATAGCTATTGGGATACTAATACTTATATTCCTAAATAATGTGTTTAATTTACAAGTTCTTTAGATTATTAATCAAAATATGGTATCTTAATTATTAATTCAAAAAATATTAGTGTGAAATGTTATTGGTGTAGTGGATCTTGTTCAGATAATTAAACATGTGATACTACAATAAATTTAGGATTAATTACACATGAAGATTGTTATAATTAAAATATTCTTAATACTATTAATTATTCAAATGGTCCAAAATGTATTTTAAAATAAAGTTCTTGTACATCCTATATAATTTAAGATTCTTGTAAAGTAACAATTGATGGTTTAAAATGTGCATGGGTTTTAGGGAGTTGTAAGGATTTTTGTATGTCTATACCAACTGTACCTGCCAGTAATGAAGATTGTCATACATTTGATAATAATTAATTGTATGTTAGATGGAACTTCATGTATTCTTGTTGATTGGTTGATTTTAAGTGTTACGGATTGTTTAATATATACAAATATTTGTATTGAGAATTCTTCAAATTAATGTGTTAAGATTACTGATTGTAATGTATATAATTCTAGTAATTGTAATGCAGGTAAAGATTATAAAGGATATTAATGTGAATATGTAAATGGAGCATGTTAAAAATAGAATACTCTTGAAAATTTTTTATCTTTAACTAATTTAGATGAACATTAATTATGTGAGTAATTTTATCCAAGTGGAATATGTACTGTTAAAAGTAAAAATACTAATTGCGCAGATTTACCAAATAGTTGTAGTTAAGCAACATAAAAATAATGTATTTTAGATAAAGATAGAAATAGATGTTATTGGAAGGCAACATATTAATGTATATAATTATAAAATTGTTCCAATTTAGGAATTGAAAATAATACACATAATAAATGTTAATTCTATTTATTAAATTGTACTGTAAATTAATTTTTAAATGGTTGTATTGATTTAGTTGATTGTAATTTATATATAATGAATAACGTTTTATAGATAGTTTATAAAATAATGTGAATGGATTCAATCATAAAATAAATGTTAATTGAAAACATGTAGTATAGCATAATTATAAAAGTATTCATCAGGAGTATGTTATGATTTAACATGTTCAATTAATATTCATTTGACATAATGTGAAATAGCATAAGTTGAATGTTAAAATTACAGTGAATAATAATGTAAAAGTGATGAATAACATAATTATGATTGTATTGAATGTTTTTGGAATACAGAGAAATCTTAATGTGTAGAAAAAAAAATGTGAAAATGGTCCAAAATATGCTTTAACTCATAAAGAATGTGAAGGATATTTGAAAAGGTGTTAAAAAGGAGGTTGTAAATAAAAAATTTGCACGGATTATTTTTATGTTATTGATTCTGCTTGTGCTTCCTTATTTCCAGATAAAAGTTGTACTACAAATGGTTATTAATGTATTAAAGAAGTATTTGTGAATCAGTATTAATTAAAGATGGTTGCACATTTAATTAATTTTATATTGATTTTGAATGGGTTTAAAATACATGTGTAGTTAAAACATGTAATACTGCTCCAATTACTTTAAATACTCATAAAAAATGTCAAGATTACTTATCATATTGTACAACCAAAAAAGATGGAGGATGTGAAGTGATTAATGAATGTTCACATTATTCAATTAAAGATGCTTGTCATAGTGATAAGTATAATTTGGGATGATTAATTAGAATTATGTTTTACAGATATTTTTGAAGGATTTTGTGGAGATGGTATTATTACAAATTCTTTAGAAGTATGTGATGATGGATGTTATAAATGTTAAATCTAATGTTCATAAGGTTGTTTAGAATTTGAAGGTATATTATGTAAATAATGTAAATAATGTGATTCATATGGATGGAAATTAATAGATGATTAATGTAAATCAATATGTGGGGATAGTATTATTGAAAGGAAAGAATTATGTGATGATAGTAATCTCATAGAATATGATGGTTGTTATAATTGTGAATATTCATGTGATCATTATTGTTTAAAATGTTTTTAAGGGTCATGTATTTAATGTCCATATGGATTATATGAAAGTGAATCTTATTGTCTAAATAAATATGGAGATGGTTTATTAGCTTAATAATATGAATAATGTGAAGATGCTAATACTGATAATAATGATGGTAGTAATTCTAATTGTTAAATTGAAAAATTCTGGAAATATTATCTTGTTGATTCTTTAAGTGTTTGTATTTACAATATTAGTCCAACTATTAAATTATTGACATCACTTAATAGTTATGGATTAAATTAAGAAGTCATTCTATCATTCAGTGAAGATATAAAATTAAATTCAAATTCAATTACTGAAGAGATATTTCTATAACTTATTCAAATGTCTATCTCTAATCTTTAAGATACTGATTACACATATGAAATACAGCCCATTTTGAGTATTGATTTTACTTTACAACCTGTTTCGTACAAAAATAAACTTAATTTCTTTAAATCTGTTATTGCACCAAAATTAATAGTTTTAATAAATTATGATCATCTTATAAACTAATATGAAAATTAATAATTATCTATATATCTTA